TTTTATTTTTTTTATTTTAATTATATGTTTCTATTTGTAACCCTCTCTTTTGTCATTATTAGTAAATGATTATTATGGTTTTTTTTTCTCTCATTGGTTTGTTTTTCATGTTTTTTGAAAATAAAATGGTTTATATGTGCTACTACTTGCGTGACCATCAAATAATAAAGAATCGGGGTGTTTTCGAATTTAAAAAATTTCAAACAATTAATTTTGGAGTGACTATTTTTGTGTGTGTTAATTTTAACTATAGGGTCACTTCACTGTGGTGCCTCCGATTCCTTCCGTCGTCGGTGCGTTGGTTCCTTCTTCCTTGGTCAGTAGCAAAAATGGTGTTTCAAAACCAACTATCGTATATATTATTAAATTGTGAAAAAAAAAGAACGCTTTTTCATTAAATTTTGATCTAAACACTATCCCGTCTTTTCATTGGATTTTAATTCCATAACTAGACCAAAACGAAATTTCTACGCAAATTAATGAAAAAAAAAGACAAATAAGTGGGGCACTTTTTCATTGAATTTCTTAATTAAATAACTAAGCCCAAACGAAATTTCTACACAAATTAAAGAATTTTTTTTTTTTTTTGAAAAAGAAAAGTAAGTGGAACACTGTCTCCTATTATCCAACAAACAAACATTCTTCCAAACTTCAAGCCCTAACCTGAAGGTGGAAGCATTTGACGAATACCAAACCAGCCAAAAATGTTGAGCCAAATGATTACCCGTGGGGTCAACAAGATAACCACTTCGCTTCATAAGGTTATCAGCTCCGAGCCTGTTGCAAATCTTCGTAGCTTCATTGTCAGTGTAAATATTGTGTATGTTACTTTTTTTTTTTAAGTTTCTATTTGTAACCCTCTCCTTTATCATTATTAGTAAATGATTATTATGGTTTTTTTTTCTCTCATTGGTTTGTTATTTGCTTTTTTTGAAAATTAATGGTGTATATGTGCTACTACTTGCGTGATCGTCAACTAATAAAGAATCGAGAAATTTTCGGAACTTCGAAAATTTCAAACAATTAATTTTGGAGTGACTATTTTTGTGTGTGTTTATTTTAACTATAGGTCACTTTACTGTGGTGCCTCTGGTTCCTTCCGTCGTCGGTACGGTGGTTCCTTCTTCCTTGGTGGGTTGTATTGCCGTGGCGCCGCCACCGTCAGTAGCAAAAATGGTGTTCCAAAACCAACTATCGTATATATTATTAAATTGTGGAAAAAAGGAATGCAAACAAGAACCTTTTCATTGAATTTTTAATTCAATAACTAAGCCCAAACGGAATTTCTAACAAATTAAAGAAAAAAAAAGACAAATATGTGGAGCACATTTTCATTGAATATCTTGATTAAATAACTAAGCCCAAACAGAATGCCTACACAAATTAAAGAAAAAAACAATTGAAAAAGACAAGTAAGTGGAATGTTGTCTCACATTATCCAACAAACAAACATTCCTCCAAATCTCAAGCCCTAACCTAAAGGCGGAAGCAGTCGAGGAAAACCAAGCCAGCCAAAAATGTTGAGCCAAATGATTACCCGTGGGTTCAACAAGATAACTATTTCGCTTCATAAGGTTATCATCTCCGAGTCTATTGCAAATCTTCATAGCTTCATTGTCAGTGTAAGTATTGTGTATGTTACAATTTTTCTTTTTTTAAGTTTCTATTTGTAACCCATCCTTTGTCATTATTAGTAAATGATTATTATAATTTTTTTTCTCTCATTGGTTTATTTTTCACTTTTTTTAAAATTAATGGTGTATATGTGCTACTACTTGTGTGACCGTCAACTAATAAAGAGTCGGGATATTTTCGGAACTTTGAAAATTTCGAATAATTAATTTTGGAGTGACTATTTTTGTGTGTGTTTATTTTAACTATAGGGTCACTTTACTGTGGTGCCTCCGGTTCCTTCCGTTGTCGGTACGGTGGTTCCTTCTTTCCTTGATGGGTTCCATTGTCGTGGCGTCGCCACCGCCAGTAGCAAAAATGGTGTTTCAAAACCAACTATTGTATATATTATTAAATTGTGGAAAAAATGGTGCAAACAAGAACCTTTTCATTGAATTTTTAATTCAATGACTAAGCCCAAACGGAAGTCCTACACAAATTAAAGAAAAAAAAAAGACAAATAAGTGTGACACATTTTTATTGAATTTCTTAATTAAATTACTAAGCCCAAATGGAATTCCTACACAAATTAAAGAAAAAAAAAATTAAAAAAGACAAGTAAGTGGAACGTTGTCTCCCATTATCCATCAAATAAACATTCCTTCAAACCTCAAACCCTAACCTGAAGGCAAAAGCATTCGACGAAAACCAAGCTTGCCAAAAATGTGAGCCAAATGATTACACGTGGGTTCAACAAGATAACCACTTTTATCAGCTCTGTGTCTGTTGCAAATCTTCATAGCTTCATTGTCAGTGTAAATATTGTGTATGTTACAATTTTTTTTAATTATAAGTTTATATTTGTAACCCCTCCTTTGTCTTTATTAGTAAATGATTATTATGTTTTTTTTTTCTCTCATTGGTTTATTTTTTACCTTTTTTAAAAAATTAATAGTGTATATGTGCTTCTATTTGCGTGACCGTCAACTAATACAGAATCGGAGTGTTTTCAGAATTTACAAAATTTCTAACAATTAATTTTCTAGTGACTATTCTATAGATGCCCTATAGATGCGCCCTCGTATGTTGGTGGCGGCGATGGGGACAAGAAGGGAGAGGATATCACGAGCATGAGTGACCCCTTTTCCCCATCCTTCGCCACATGGTCTTGTTCCTTCTTGGGCTTCGATCGACATTCGCGCGCCCAATGACCCTTCTTCCCGCAGTGCCTCCATTCGTCGAGGGTGGGCCGGTGTGAATTGGCAGCCTGCCAGACGACGAACCTCCGTGACCAGGCTCGCACCGACCTCCTCTTTTTGCGTTGTCGCCGAAATGGTTCACTCCCTTGTGCTTCATTCGTTACGCGTCTCATTCCTCCTCTGTGAGGTACAATTTCCCCTCATAAAGCAGCAACGTAAGATATATTCTTCATACCCCTCCTCCACCTCCTTCTTTCACTCAGTCAGTTCAGCAACCGTCATATTCGACACGTCAAGCAGTGTCTTGATTACAATTGAGATCCAATTGAACCGTGACGGTAGGGTGCGGAGTATCTTCGCGACGATCTTGCTCTCCGCCAATTCCGCGTCCTGTGTTGCGAGGTGTGCCGCCATGTCGTTCATGCACCAACGCATATTCCTCGACTGTTTCGCCGTCTTCAAAAGCGTCGAGGTCAATTTTTATACGTAGTTGCTGCGTTGTCGACCTGCTAATGCGGTCGTCCCTAACCCTCATGGTAGTGATAGCGTCCCAGGCCTCCCTCACCATCTTTTTTGGCAATCGTCGGTACCATCTCTGGTGGCACTGCGCCACACAAGTCAAGCGCCATCATCTTCTCTTTTGGATAGGCTTCATTGTCCTCGATCATGCTCTAGAGACCTGACCTTCAACTTGACCTTCATAAGGAGCGCCCAGTCGAAGTAACTGCTCTTGGTGAGAATGGGATAGCTATGTCGTCGCTCACCTCACGGATCACTCGCTGGATAACAACGTCGTACTTTGAGGGGCCTTCGACATTTCTCTTCCCACTCATGGTCCCAGGTACGAGTAGCTCTAATGACACTTGTTAGAACCTTGTCAGAGAGACAACACCCAGTTAATGGCGAGATCATGGCCAAAACACAAAACACAAAAGAACCTCACTCAAACACAAGAGAATGTGATCTTGTTTGTTGTCGTTGAATTGACAACTTTTCTGGTGCTATTATATTGCTTAAATAGAGGAATACAAGGACTTCAATAAGGCCTACAAATCAAGATTGAGTGAAAACTATAATCATGTCTAACATTCACAACTAATCTATGGGAGGAAAGCAAATAAATTAATTTTGGTGCACATGGGTTATATCTTCTAATAAAATATTTCCTACAAAAAAATACATCAATAACCTTAAAACTTAAAACTTATCTTTACTGATGATATTCTTGGATATTCAAAAGTTTCAAGAAACTCACTCTTCTTTTTCTTAAGAGAGTTATAGATTATAGACATGGATATAGATTTTATGATTTTCCTTGTAGAACTTCTTTTGCGTTTGTCTTTTAACCGTTTAGCACAACCGGCGGCAATACTAGTAACTTTGACTCTTCTTGAGACACTGGACACATAAAAGTGTTTGATATAATATTCCTGGAAAATGTGATACAATCTTTGCGTTAGGAAGGATAAAGATATCGATAGCAAAAAGATATTTGAACTAATTCGTGATCAAGATTGATGCACATGTGAAGTTATTTTATGCTTCAACGAAGTACAAGGTAGAGGCATGTTATGTCGGCTATAGAATGTTTATACCAATTCTACATTATCTAAGGATTGATTGTTTTTCTTTTCTTTTCTTGTTAATGTGTGTGCTATGCTATGTTTGTCAGTTTGAGCACTCAGAACTATGAAGAGCTGAGAATGGCTAGGGACATGGCAGAGCTAAAATTGGTTGTGGCCCAAGACTTGTTCTCCTAGCCTCACCGGGCCCTTCGAGCTTTTCGGCCCATCATTTTTCTGGAGACCTCTCCCCACTCCTTCAAGCCCGAGGACTTGCAGTCGCCTCTGCTGAGGCACTTGGGTCGGATATTTATGCATAGCTGGTGAACTTACTATGTAATATATAAGAAAATAATGATGTGTTATGAAATATTATACCAATAAGTGGCCATTGGTTGAGTATGTATAGTTTTCTACCTTGGATGAATTCATATTTATAGAGAAATCACTTTTCATGTGACACAGTATGATATAAAGTTTCATATCCATTTTACTATGTACTTAGATTTGACTGTGGGACTTTCCGTGTAATCAGAATCTACACATTCGAAGTCCCAACCGAGCCAAATCATGCTTCAAGCCTACAAACACATACATTTCCCAAGTCGACCATAGTTAACGCAGATACTCAACAAGGCTCGGGTGATGCTTCTTTCTGTTGACAGGTCAGCGACATTTCTCTTTCTGTGAGCCTTACGGGCTTATTTCCTAATATCGTGCCTTGTTTCCATATATATTCCCATTTTTCTTGGATAAGATAGAGGAAGAGTATGATTGAGACCTCGGCTGTGAAAATGATGTTCCAAATCCTCGTGTCCTTTGACATTCGCCTTTTGTACGCTTGTAAACCGGTGTATATGTTGATGATACCGAGTAAGGAAACACATATGCCGACTAGCCAGTGAAAAAGAAACCAAATGCTTCTGCATTTGCTTCCCCTGCAAAAAAAATAAAATAAAATAAAATAAAAAATTGCATATACGAATTTGCTTGCAAAATGTTTGTGTGATATGGTATGCTTCAATCGATTTATTTATTTTGTACCTTCGTGGCCTAAAGATGCCGAGCAGTGCTTGCAACCACATGATGATATAGAAGGCTAAACCGATCCTTTGATGAACGTTGTTGAATGAGTTGTCGAAGAATTTTATCGACATTACTGCTCCTGCTGTTGCAAGGAGCACCGATAAAACCTGTGTGATTAAAAGTTTATTCACCAAGAAAATTTCAGTCATCTTACTGAAACAAAACAACTTGGGAAACTTTTTTAACTTAGTAATTGATTTGGGGATAAAGCTAAGCACAGGGGTTTTCTTGTCCATTCAAGTAGTCATAATGATTTGGACCAACTAGACATCAGTACATGCAATTTACATGTCATTAAAACTAATTGTGGGGTATCTTAGCTAAACCAAACAGAGCTCTACTCACTAATCTGTAATGAGATGTCATTAAGACACTGTAGAGATATTGTTTTATCATGCAAAGACAAACACAACACTGGAAAAAAAAAGAAACAATAACACAAATAATTTTAGCTTAAGATGATCGTTTTTGAACGATAATGATACGGATTTAATCGTATATTGTCCGACAAAGTATAGCTTTAAAAATCAGTCGAAATTGCCATGTGCTAGCTGATCATGATAGGTCAAAGTCAGCTCAGCTCCCAATCAAGGGCTATGCAAACAAGAAATTTTGAAACTTGGGTTGGCAAAGTGCAAAGCTGATATAGTTTGGTGAGACAGACATACATTAATTCATAATTATTATAATGTAACTCCTCGAAAATCGATACTAATATCGTAACATAAGGAAGAAGCATGAGAGCTTGCCTGTGCAATAGCATGAACATAGAATATGACTCTTAACCTGCTTCCGGACGCTTCTCTGTTCGACATCCTCTTCACGAGTACTGCAAATGGCATTAGGAAGCCAACCGAAGCCCATAGTAGAAACCCGTGAAGTTTGATCTCGAACAAAAGTTTAGGACTCATCTAGAAAAAGGCAAACACACGAAAATAAAACTCTGAAACCGGGAAAAACAGCTCAAAACAGGATATGGATGCTAAAAGAACCACATTGCGTTTCTAGTCGAAGCATATACACACACCTCTCCATGTTTGCTCGACTTGACATTCTCCATATTCGTTCGTTCGTGAGATGATCGAACTGAAAATCACCTTTTTCTGTTATTCTTTAAGTGAGAGCTTATTCAATCAGGATTTATCTTATGAACATGAAATATACAAGAAATTCATAGAAGGGTTGCACATTTACTCTGTCAGTGGCCACTTTTTCCTCTTTTGGTTAGCAGAGCCAAAGCTGGACAATTAAGAGTAACATATTGGTGTTTGTGTGACTATTTCATTGAGTTTATTGCTTTGTTGTGCATATATTATTATATAAGAGAAGCAAGATTAAGAGATGGGCAAATTTGTTGAATTTTCAAAAAATTGTGGGGTCATTTTGACAGGCTTTTGGCTTTAATGGGGGGGAAATGTAGAATTTTCAGAGTTGTAGCTTTGGTCAGAATGTAATAATTTTATTCTATGAGGTGAGAAGTTTTTGGGTGTGGTAGTGGTCTGTAAGACCTAATGCTGAGCAGCATTATCCTCTGCTATTTTTACTAGTCCCACTAAAAGGTACAATAACAATTGCTTCTGCTGTAAAGGTAGTCATATACACTTTTAGATTAGGCAAAATTGCAATTTTAGTCCGGCTAGTTTAACGTCATAGCATTTTTAGTCCCACAATTTCAACTTTTTGACTTTTCATCCTGTAATTTAGGATTT